CCATCTGCTCCCCCTCACTTCCCCACCCCTCCCCTCCCCACCCCTCCCCTCCCTCCCCACCCCACCTCCTGGCCCCACCTACCACCATCCCTCACCCCAACCCTCCAGTCCAGCCTCTGCCCAGGGCCTGAGCCTGGCTCTCAATGACCCAACCGAGGTCTTTCGTGCAACCCCCGCCCCCCTTAACCAGTCCTGCCACACGGCAGGGCTCTGAGGGCTCAGGAGAGGAGCGGCCCAGGAGGTCCCTGCCCTCTGCAGCCCTGCTTCACGAGGAGCCTGCCTTGCTCAGGGCCTCAAGCCTGGCCTCCCAGCCACCAGCCTGTCTCCCCTCCCAAGTACAGGACAGGCCCCAGGTGAAAATTAGCCAGGGATCCCCGTGGTTCAAGAGCAAGCCCAGACCCTCAGCAGCCCCGCCCTGTCTGCCCGGCTCTGCAACGTGCTTTCCTGACCTGAGCAGCGTGATGACTGCCGCCCTGGCACATCCAAGGACTGGAGCGCATATAGAACGGTTCTGCCCCTTCCGCAGAAACTCTGGGCAACGAATCCCCACCCCGGTGGGCTGAAGGCATGGGGCACCACCCCACAGCCCTCCCCTCGTGGCCCTTGTCACCCCTCACTCCAGGCAGGCCTCGTCTGCCCTTTTGGCCCTGTCTGACCCGGTGGCGGTAGGCTGAGTATTTCAACAGCCAGCTGCTGAATGCTCTCTGCAGAAGCCCTGGGCGGCCTGCGCGGGCAACTCCCCGGCTAGGCGGCTCGCGCCTGCATGGGCGGGCCTCAGACTCCCGGCCTGCAGCCCAGCCCTGCGCCTCCACAGACAGGAGTGTCTCTACCTCCCCGCAAACCTACCTTTTGCCGCCTCAGAGAGATGGCGATGGAGGCCACAAGGAGCTGGGTCCAGACAGCTTTGAATCTGGTAAGGGTCACCCCAAAGCCAGGGCAAGTGGTCCCCAGGGCCATGGCTGGGGCAGGTTCTTCCTGTGTGGGTAGGGCAAGTGGTTTGGTAGAGTGGAGGTTAGGAGGAGCTCTGGACCCCTTGGAAGGAGGCGCAGAGGTGCGGAGGCTAAGAGGCAGCTGGTCCCTCCCGATACCCACTGTCCAGCCTCTCCAGGAGGGGTCTCCAGGGACGGCGTCTTCTAGGGGACTTGTTCCTGGGGCTGACAGTGCTAGGCTGTCCCCTGTGCTCTGGCCTCACTATTCAACTGCTACTTGGCATCCATCTCCCCTTGGCTAACAGACACGCCAACGTGCCTGCAGAGACCAGGCGGATTTCCCCAGCCCAACCCACCCCTTCTCAGTCTGCAGAACGTCCCCTCCTAGCACTCAGCCATCAGTATGAGGACAGTCCTTAAGGACACGGGTCTGGACAAGGCCATGGGCTGTACAGGTTGGAAGCAAAGTGGGAGGGGCCAAGCTGGTTGGGCAGGGATGACGGGGCTGGTGGGGCTCGGCTGGGGACACCTGCCCCATTTATGCCACAGTCAGTGTTTTGGGACCCTGCCCCAAGGGCTCAGGAAAGATGGCAGGACATCCTGTGGGGCTTGTATTTGACAGATGAGGAGACAGGGAAAGGTCTGAGAGGGCTTCCCACACCTGCACAGCAGTGGACAGGCCCCAGAGGGCCAAGGCATGGGGCCCCTGGGCAAACGCTGGGTGCCCTGTGGGCTCTAGAACCCATCCCAGTGTCCTGGAGGGCAGTATGAGCCCTGCGTGGGTCCAGCTGCAGCCATGGGATGGCTGTGTACACACAGTGGGTGACCCTGGGCCAGTTGCCGCATACTCCTGGGGAAGTGTGTCCCCAACCCACCAGCTTCAGACTCTCCTGGAGAATCCCAGGAGAGCCAGGATGGGAGGACCCCGGAGAGCCAGAGGGCACTGGGCAGTCTGGCTCTTCTCCTGCAAAACCCTGGGCCAGGGCACCAGAAGCCGGAGCCCTGGGGGGCTGTGGCACTGTCAGATGGTGGCAATGGCCCTGCCTGGAGAGTAAGAGAGTTGCTCAGGGAGGAGACCCCCTCCCACCATGTTTGGGTGCAGCCGTGAGCCCTGATGCTGTGTCCTGTGACCTCCTGGTGAGCAGGCAGGGGTGCAGCTGTGGGGGCAGGGCTGGGGGGACAGGCTCTGTCTGTGCTTTGTTCTTCTGTGACCTGGGGGGGACAGGTGGCTTCTTGGGGTTCCTAGGCTGCTCGGCAAGACCTTTAAGCCAGCTTGCACGGACACCCAGCCTGCGGTCAGGGAAGGGCTGGGCAGCCCAGCGGGGTAGGGAGGGGAGGTGGGCTCAGAGCCAGCACCTGGGTTCAAAGCCAGCTCTGAGCCGTCTAGATCTGTGGCCTTGGAAAGGAAGTGGAGATAATAAAATACTTGGGTTCTAGGGGGATTAAGCGTAAGGGAGAACTGGGGATGCCCCAAGCGGGGCCTGGTGCACAGTGCCTGCTTCTGGGGATGTTTCCACGGGGTCTGTGAGGCAGGCCTCTGCCCCGTGACTTGAACCCAACTGGCGTCCGCCTAGACATGCAGCCTTGGGGGTGAGGTCGGAGTGCCTCCTCTCAGGGTTGCAGGCTAACTGTGGTGTCTGCAGGCCCCAATGCACCCGAGAAAGGGGCTCACACCCACCATGGAGGACGCTCCCCACTGCCTCAGGGGAGGGTTTCTGGAGGCCCGTGTGAGCCTGTGGCCGCCTGGAGTGTTGGACTGCAGCCATGGAACCTTCCAGCACCCTTCCCAAACTCTGCCCACATGGGCCTGGACACAGAGGGTGAAGCCATTGGGTCACAGCCCCTCATGAGTCCAGGCTCAAGGCCACTGGCTGGGCTGCCATGACAGAGAGGGAGGGGATGGAGCCCAGCGGGGCCTGCGGGCTGGACCTCTGCAGGATCAGCATCGCTTTTGTTAAGAGCCGTGATGTCTTACAGTTCTGTTTTGGGAGAGATGCCGGGCAGCCTCTTGAGGACTTCTGACAGCGGCCCTTGAGTGCGTGGCTTTGGGTGCTGGCCTCACTCTGTGTGCTGGCTGCAAGTGGCTGCATCTAGAAGATGAGCGGATGCCAGCCCCGCCCCCGAGCTGTGTCAAGGATGAAAGAAAGGCAGCTTGTGTAGTGCACTCACCTCAGAGCCTGGCGTATTGGAAGGATTCAGCAAATGTTAATGTTAATGTTCCTTCCTGGCGCCTTTTACTTGAAAGTGTGTGAAAGAAACAGAGACGAGGCCAGGCTGTAGGCATGGGCCTCTGAGGACAGCCTGGATTGTTTCACAGAGCGTGAGGGCCTCTCTGGGGGTATGTCCTGCCAGGACGGCCTTGGGGTGGGCTGCACCCTCACCCCATCTGGGGATGTAGCTCACCCCAGAGCTGCAGAATGGCTTAGCAAATACTGGTGTTTGACTCTGTGTGTCTTGTCGTAGACTTTGTCAGCCCCATCCCTTTGTGACCTTCCCTGGGTTTAAATTCTAAGTGTGAGGTCTTGGTAAGAGAATTCACTCCTAAGTAAGGATCTGTATGCATTAGGAATGCTTTGGGCTGCAGGAAACTAAAGACCTGACTGACTGTGGCCTTAAGTGATTAGTATCTATTCCCACAACCGGCACTTGGAGGTGGGTGGGTCCAGGGTTGGCTCAGCACATCAGTGATGTCATCAGGGCTGGGCTCACTCTGTCTCTCTTCTCTGCCATCTATAATATGCTAACAGCCTTTTCTCTTCAGCCTTGTCTCCTCGTGGTTCAGGATAGCTGCTGCAGTGCCAGTCAACACACCCTCATACAGCTATGTTCACAAAGTTAGAGGCGAAGGCCCCCCTCCTGCTAAAATCAGGCTTCCCTTCACCTGACACTGGCCAGAACTGGGCCACATGCCCATCTCTAAACCAAGTCACCAGCAAAAGGGGATAAGATAGCTGGGCTGGGCTTAGCCCAGTCACGGGCTGTCCCCTGGGCCTAGGAAGGGGCTGTCTTCCTTTGACGTGATAGCTCCCCAGGCCCCCAACAAAATGTGGGCTCTAAAAACCGAGGAAGAAGGGGCAAGCAGCCGTGTTGTCTCCTGATTGGAATTCAGAGCATCTCCACCCCCCGAGCTTACATGGAAAACTACCAGCGAGAGAGTAGGAGTTTTTTGAAGAGTGGACCCACGGCTTTTATTCGAGCAGCCTCCCTTTCCTTGTTGGTCCAAATATGTAGGGAATCAAAGTGGTCTTGTCTCCATGAACACGTGCTGTTGTGCAAAGGGGAAAGGGCAGCCACACCACGGTCCACACGCAAGGTCAGAGCAGGGTCCCTGCTTCCGGGGGACTAGTGGGCATGGGCACGGTGTTTAAGCCCAGTGTCATGCCACCATGAAGGGATGAGCAAGCGGGAGGAGAACCCAACCCAGGCCGTCCACACTCACGGGAATGGCGGAATTGAATCTGAGCTTTGTGTACCAGCCTCCCTCCTGTCAATGTATAGGGACCTCTCCTCCCTCTGAGGGCCTCAGCGCCTTCCAGGCTATGGACTGCCATGCTTTAGTCCACCAGACACCTCTAACTAACTTTCACCTCTAAGTAGTGTGTCTTGACCATCACTTACGGACATGTGTACGCACTGGCCCACTAACTCCCTTAGCATAGATTCCTAGAGGTATAATGATCGGATCTTTTAGACAGTAACGCCAGCTGCCCATCGCCCTCCAGGCGGGCTCCTCCAGCCCCTGTCTCACTCACTCTCCTGGTTAGCGCCTCCCTCCTCCCCTGGCCTGGATCAGGGGTACAAAGGAAGGTGCCATGTCTGCCCTCTGCCCCTCACCCCCCAACACGCCCCAAGCTGCATTTGTTTGGAAGCTGGCGTTGGAACTGTGCTGTCTTAATTTTTCAACTGGTTGTAACTGTGGTAGTTTGAAATGATGGGCCATCCTGGGCCCAGGGTCAGGGGGCAAAAGGACACCGTCGGTGTGTGTGGGAAACACACACTCTGTGGTCCCCCTTCCCCGTACTGCACAGCCCCTCGTCCACCCAGCTGTTCCCCATCTCCCTCCCTGTGCAGGTGGAACAGATCCTGGCGGAGTTCCAGCTGCAGGACGAGGACTTGAAGAAGGTGATGAGGCGGATGCAGAAGGAGATGGACCGAGGCCTGAGGCTGGAGACACACAAGGAGGCCAGTGTGAAGATGCTGCCCACCTACGTGCGCTCAACCCCGGAAGGCTCAGGTACCGCGGTCCAGGGTGGGGCAGGGATGGGACTCACATGGGAACCATCAGGTCCTCATCCAGAGGCAGCTCTCCCCTGGCCCCAGCAGGGAGAAGTGCCCCAGGCCCTTCCTAACAGCCCTGACTGTCCCCAGCAGCCCCGAGTCAGCTCCCCAAAATGCTGTGCCCCAGACACCAGCCAGGTCTCACCCTCTGCGCCGCTGGCCCAGCCCTGGGGCCTTCAGGCTCACTCTGGCCCCAGGAAAGTGGCTCTCTTCATCTCACAATGAGAAACTGGTTTCCCGCAGTCATCTGGGGGACTCCCAGCCCAATCCTGAGTCTGGGCCATTTTCCTAGGTCTTCAGGTGGGCCCTGGGCTGGGGGCAGCTTCAACCCAAGACAAGGGATTCCTGCTGCCTTCCCCAGTTCACCTTTGCCCTTTCCACAGTTTATCCTGGGGTCCCCCAGATGTCTGGCTTCGGGGGCCCCTCGTCCAGCTCTTCTGGTCCCCCCACCATGCCTTCCCCTCCTCCTCTCCCAGTTTGGGGGCTCCTGCCCGGCGGTGCCCATGAGACTGATGTGCTTCTCTCTGTGGCTGCAGAAGTCGGGGATTTCCTCTCCCTGGACCTGGGCGGCACCAACTTCAGGGTGATGCTTGTGAAGGTGGGGGAAGGGGAGGAGGGACAGTGGAGTGTGAAAACCAAGCACCAGATGTACTCCATCCCCGAGGACGCCATGACGGGCACTGCTGAGATGGTGAGCAGCTCGGGCTAGGGCTTGGGGGGCCAGGGACCTCGGTCAGGACCACCCAGGATCTCGGAGCATGGCTAGTCCTGGTGGGAGGGCCCACCTGTCTACCAGGGGCGGGCAGAGCTGTGGGCCCAGCCTCAGGGGACCCTGCTGCAGGAGGAGGAGGGAGCTGAGAGGCTTAGGTGGACGGCCACTGGGTGCGGCCCCAGAAGGTCGCACCCCTGCCCAATTTCCCAGAAGGATCTGGAACAAGGCAGGGCAGCCAAGAGAGCACGCTGGTCCAACAGGCTCGCAGCCCATCGTTCTATCTCCACCCCACGTGTCGCCCTCACCCTCCATGGGCATGGATGCCAAGTGGCATGACTGCAATGCTAATATCTGACCACGGGGAGGACTCGGGAAGGACCACAGAAGTAGGATGAGCCCTGGGCGGAGGTGGGGAGCAGCCAGAGCCAATCCCCGCGAGGGGCAGGGCTTCAAGGTAGGAGGCCAGCGGCCGCCTGGTCCTTGCCGCAGCGCCACATGCCGTGGGTCTGGGCGTGGAGCAACGCTGGTGCCACCAGGGAGCTCGGTCAATCAGCAGGGCACTCTGTAATGCCCAGCTCTGTGGATAGGCCTTTGTGAATGGGGTGGCAGCTGGTCCTCGCAGGCCCAGGGCTGGGGTGGCCAGAACACTTGGAGGCAACAAAGAACACTCTATGCTGGAGTCAGAAATCGTAGTTATCGCCAGGGATGTGCCTCTGTCCAAAGCCTGAGACTGGACTCCACTGGGTCCAGCTGGGAGGGCCAGGCTAACAGAGCACAGCTGGGCTAGGGACCAACCCCTTCGTCCTGGCATTGCCCTGTCCCGAGGGCTGCTGTCAGCGGGACTGTGGCATGGGGCGGGGCTCAGGGCCTGAGTCCCGACAAGCAGTGCGGAGGCCACGCTCTCCTGGGGCCCTGTGGCTCAGCACGGGCTGAGGAGCGCCTCGGCAGGAGGCTCGCCCCTGCCGCTGATGGCCTCCTCGGTGTGCGTCCCGCAGCTCTTTGACTACATCTCTGAGTGCATCTCCGACTTCCTGGACAAGCATCAGATGAAGCACAAGAAGCTACCCTTGGGCTTCACCTTCTCCTTTCCTGTGAGGCACGAAGACATCGACAAGGTGGGACCAGGTGTAGAGTGGGTGGGGGGAGGTGGACGGATGGACGGACAGACACCCCGGAGAAAGGCACCCATGAACTCTGCCCTGTGCTGCCTTCAAATGCAGCTCCCATTGTTGGGAAAGAGCCTTGGATTCAAACTGGCTCCATCACTTACCTCTCGTGAGACTCTGGGAAATGATCGTATTAGCTGATTCTTACTATTTGCCTCCCACAACCCTATGAGGCGTGCGTATCTCCCCCATTACAGGTTAGGAAACTGAGGTGTAGCAACTTGCCCATGGTGGGAAGTGGCGGTGCTGCGGCTCAAACTCAGGCAAACAGGCTCCAGCACACCTGTGTGTCACCTCTATGCTGTACCGCTGCCTGTGGCAGAGGTGGCAGTGTGCCGGGGCTGAGGGTCTACCCTGCCTTCCAGCTGGCAAGTTAGGCTGTCACAGTTACACGCACACACATACGTACATGTAAATTACACACACACACACACCACACACCAGTTATACATGCTCACATAGACATGTGTAAATTATACATATATGTGCACATAAATTATACATGTGAATTGTACACATAAATGTATGCACTGCACATATTTAAATTATACACATGCATGCACTCATGTCGATTATACGTACATATAAACACATAAATTGTACATGCATATTTTTATGCATACATAAATTATACATACATATATATACATGGGCCAGTTATATATTCATATATATCTACACATGCCAATCATACATACATACATACATGTAAATTATACATATCAAGTATACATGCATATAAACGTGTAAATTACACATGCATATTTACACGTCAAGTATACATGCATGCATATATGCACATGTCAATCATACATATATACACATTCACAGGTCAACGATACATACACACCCACACACATTGATTATACATACATATATACATGTGTGTGTAAATTATCCAAACATACGCACAGTTATACATAACACACAGGACCTCTGGGTCAGAGAGAAAGCCAGGTCAGTACTCCTGGCAGAAGCAGTAGCAGGAGCAACGTCTCATATTGCTTTTCCAAGCCCCAGTCCCTGCTGGGCACTGAGGGCCAGGTGGGACCTTCACACGCAGAGGGTGCACACAGGAGAGGAACCCCGATCTTCTACTGGCTGCACCCCTCTGGACCTCATCCTCACTCTGGGATGATGACCCTGGGCTTAACTACACAAGCATTCTTAAATTGGCTGGGACTCAGCCCTGCAGAAATATGAGATATTGGTAGAAAATTACCTCCAACACTTCTTGAACTTATACGGCTGCTTTGAGCCTCAGTTTCCTCAGCTTTAAAGTGGGTGCACAGGGACTTCCCTGGTGGTCCAGTGGCTAAGACTCTGCGCTCCCAATGCAGGGGGCCCGGGTTCAATCCCTGGTCAGGGAACTAGATCCCACATGCCACAACTAAGAGTTCGCATGCCGCAGCTAAGGATCCCGCATGCCGCAACGAAGATTCCACATGCTGCCACCAAGACCTGGCGCAGCCGGATAAATAAATAAAAATGAATAAATTAATTTAAAAGAAAGGTTAATTATAAAGTGGGTACACATTCCTGTGGTCCGAGTTAGCTCCCGTCCCTTCACGCCTGCCCCCAGCATCCAGCAGCCACCGAGGCCCCCCTCTCCCCCCAGGGCATCCTTCTCAACTGGACCAAGGGCTTCAAGGCCTCAGGAGCAGAAGGGAACAACATCGTGGGGCTCCTGCGAGATGCCATCAAACGGAGAGGGGTGAGTAGCATCTGCAGCTGCCCCTACCCTGGGCCCCCTCCCCCTCCCCTCCTGCGGGGAAGCCAGGGAGGGCTTTCTGGGCATCCCCCCAGGAAGGGGTCTCTGCCTTCTGCGCCTGGCTGGACTGGCCTGGAGCAGGCTGAGAACCCCCCCAGCCCCATCACCACTGCCTCTATGCCTCTTGGCAGGACTTTGAGATGGACGTGGTGGCGATGGTGAACGACACTGTGGCCACGATGATCTCCTGCTACTATGAAGACCGCCGGTGTGAGGTTGGCATGATTGTGGGTAAGGATGCGCCCCCTGCCTGACCCAGGGGCCTTGGCCACCACCAAAGACGGGGCCGAGGCTTCCCGTCTTCAGCAGGCTGCACACGGCCTCTGCGCCAGTCATGGACCCCAGAGGTGCTGGAGCCCAGGGTCTTAGGGAGCAGCAGGGGTGTCCCGGAAGACAATACACCAATGTACATTGGTACTGGGTGTACCAATAAACAGGTGCTGTTTATTGGTAGGAAGCATTTCAACACTCACAAGTCACTGCCTCAGATGGTGTACCAGCTCACGTCCACCTGGCCCATCAGGATTTAATTAAATCACCTTATCTGATAAGTTGACCGACCTGTACAGATTTGTCCAAGTGGAAGAGGAGAAACCAGAGTGGTGTCATCCCTCCCTGGACAGTCTTACCACACCCCGGGGCAGCCATCTGCCCTGCCCGAAGTGGAGGCAGGTACCAGGAAAGGAGGCAGCACTGGCCCCAGTGGCCCTTTCCCACCAACCAAGGGCCTTTCCCAGAAGTTCCCAAGGCCTTACAATGAGTGTTTACTGAGGAGTGTTTACTGGACACACAGGCGAGTGGGTATTTCCCTGGTTCCCAGAAAGTCAGCATTAAATGTGTTTGCTTCCACGGCCTCTTCAGGGCCAGCCCTGAGGGTTTCTGTGTTCTTAGGACCCATCTCCAATTGCATGCACATGTCCTAAGGGGCCGGCGACCTGCTCTCTGCCTCTCCTCTAGTTTCTCACATCTCCTCCTTCCATTCTCACCTTTTGGATGGGAAGTTCTTTTTTTTTTTTTTTTTAACATCTTCATTGGAGTGTAATTGCTTTACAATGGTGTGTTAGTTTCTGCTTTATAACAAAGTGAATCAGCTATACGTATACATATATCCCCATATTCCCTCCCTCTTGCATCTCCCTCCCCCCCTCCCTATCCCACACCTCTAGGTGGTCACAAAGCACCCGAGCGGATCTCCCTGTGCTATGCGGCTGCTTCCCACTAGCTATCTATTTTATGTTTGGTAGTGTATATATGTCCATGACACTCTCTCACTTCGTCCCAGCTTACCCTTCCCCCTCCCCATATCCTCGAGTCCGTTCTCTAGTAAGTCTGTCTTTACTCCCATCTTGCCCCTAGGTTCTTCATGACATTTTTTCTTAGATTCCATATATATGTGTTAGCATACAGTATTTGTTTTTCTCTTTCTGACTTACTTCACTCTGTATGACAGACTCTAGGTCCATCCACCTCACTACAAATAACTCAATTTCGTTTCTTTTTATGGCTAATATTCCATTGTATATATGTGCCACATCTTTATCCATTCATCTGTTGATGGACGTTTAGGTTGCTTCCATGTCCTGGCTATTGTAAATAGAGCTGCGATGAACATTTTGGTACATGACTCTTTTTGAATTATGGTTTTCTCAGGGTATATGCCCAGTAGTGGGATTGCTGGGTCGTATGGTAGTTCTATTTTTAGTTTTTTAAGGAACCTCCATACTGTTCTCCATAGTGGCTGTATCAATTCACATTTCCACTAGCAGTGCAAGCGTGTTCCCTTTTCTCCACACCCTCTCCAGCATTTATTGTTTCTAGATTTTTTGATGATGGCCATTCTGACTGGTGTGAGATGATAACTCATTGTAGTTATGATTTGCATTTCTCTAATGATTAATGATGTTGAGCATCCTTTCATGTGTTTGTTGGCAATCTGTATATCTTCTTTGGAGAAATGTCTGTTTAGGTCTTCTGCCCATTTCTGGATTGGGTTGTTTGTTTTTCTGATATTGAGCTGCATGAGCTGCTTGTAAATTTTGGAGATTAATCCTTTGTCAGTTGCTTCGTTTGCAAATATTTTCTCCCATTCTGAGGGTTGTCTTTTGGTTTTGTTTATAGTTTCCTTTTCTGTGCAAAAGCCTTTAAGTTTCATTAGGTCCCATTTGTTTATTTTGTTTTTATTTCCATTTCTCTAGGAGGTGGGTCAAAAAGGATCTTGCTGTGATTTATGTCATAGAGTGTTCTGCCTATGTTTTCCTCTAAGAGTTTGATAGGAAAGTTCTTTAAGTCCACACCTAAACAGGAGCTCCAGGGGCCCTGGCAGTGCTCCCCTGGCTCTCTCCGGTTCCCCAAGACACCACCACCTGGGCTCTACAGCCGCTTGCCTCGGGCTCGCCCCATCTGGAGCAGAGATGGCAGAGTGGCGCGTGGTCACATCTGCCCTGATGTGCTTAGAAACATGTTTATGATAATCACCAAGCACTAAACATTGGGAGAAACCATATCAAAGTCTGGATTTCTGTTTTTTCCCCACAAAAACTTGGAAGGCCTGGCATCACTGGGCCTGAATTCCAGGCAGCTCCACTGCTGGTGTGAGGTTGGCATGACTGAGTTGCTGTCCCTGATGGCTTGAGGGGTATGCAGTCACGTTCAGATTGAAGCTCTGCTGTCACCATTTTGAAACTCTCAGTTTATGAACAAAGGACCCCATGTTTTCACTTTGCATGGGACCCTGCAAATTACAAATTCCTTAGCCAGGCCCGCCTGCAATGGCCCGTGTGCTGCTCCCAGGGCCCACGCTGTGACACACTCACCTCTGGGTGCCCGCCTCCTCCCCACAACAGAGCCTGGTACAGAGGAGCTCAAACACATGCTTAGACAGTGCCAGAACACAAGGGTGGTGCATAGATAAGACAAAATCATAACATCCCATACCCATCTCTAATTGGCAAAGCACTCTGACACATGTTCTTTCCCTCATTTCTCTCAACTACCTAGGTAATAGGAGTAGGTGTTACCAACCCCTCTTGGGGAAGAGGAACCGCCCAGGGAGTTGGGCTTATCTACCTGAGGTCATACAGCAAACCCAGGTCTTCCAGCTCTTGGGAGAGCTGGTTTCCTTTGCTCCAGGGGATGTAGGAAGTGCTGGGGGTGGAGGGCTCAAGGAAGCTGGGAAGACAGGGCCACACGGGGCTTCCTGCCGGGGGGGATGCACCCAGCAGAGCGGGCATCCCAGGAAGCGCAGCGCCAGGTGCGGCCTGACGCTGTGGCTTCTCGCAGGCACGGGCTGCAACGCCTGCTACATGGAGGAGATGCAGAACGTGGAGCTGGTGGAAGGGGACGAGGGCCGCATGTGTGTCAACACCGAGTGGGGTGCCTTCGGGGACTCGGGCGAGCTGGACGAGTTCCTGCTGGAGTACGACCGTGTGGTGGACGAGAACTCCCTGAACCCCGGCCAGCAGCTGTAAGGACCGCCCCTCCCCCTCCCCACACGACGGCCCCGCCCCGCTCTGGCGGCAGATGGGGCCGGCCCGCAGATAATGGGCTTGTTTTTAAACAGCTCTGGGGAAAAGCAAACTGACAATCCCTTCGTAAGCTGGCTCTTCTCTTCCTTCAGCTCGTATGCGTGTGCCCCTCTGTGAACTGGGAACAGTGAGAGATGCCAAGGATTAGTCTTTAAAAAGAGGGTCTATGGGGACTTCCCTTGCGGCCCAGTGGTTAAGACTCTGCGCTTCTACTGCAGGGGGCGTGGGTTCCATCCCTGGTCGTATCCCACATGCCGCGCAGTGTGGCCAAACTAAGACTCCAAAAAAAAAAAAAAAGAGGGTCTGTGGATAGATGAGCAGGAACCTCCCGGCTTCCGACAGGTGACCCCTGGCACAGGAAGGCTCTGAGACGCCCCCCAGCAACGTTAACTGGGTTTAGCCCAGAGTTCCCCAAAGTACAGCTCTGAACACATTCACAGAATGAATCATAGTATTTGGGGGTATGCTGCGGGTTCGCGGACAGCTGGAGAGCCAGCCCTCACAGAGCTTGTCCTGAGTCAGGGCTCTCCTTTATCAGCCGCCTTCTGCGGCGCGCCAGGCACGTGCTAATGCTTTCATGAGCTTCCTCTCGGGCTCTCATAAACCTCTGCTAGGTCGGTAGTATTCAATGTGCTACAAGATGAAAATATGGAGGTTTACAGACTCGAGTGCCACCGGGCCAACTCCGTGGATTCCAGGAGCGCAGGGGCCTAGGAGCCCTAGCAAGTGAGCAGAGGCCGGCCCAAGGCTGGTCACTAGCCGCTCTAAGCCTGAGCTCCCCCAACTGACACTGGGTGATGAGAACAGCACTCGTTCCACAGCTGTGGGAAAACCCAAGTGGGCTCAGCGCAGGGTCCTCCCTGAGGATGGCCTCAGAGGGACTGAACCGAGGCCCCACAGTAGAGCGTTCTCCCAAGGCCCCAAAGCCCCTGTTGATAAATGTGGGAACGGGCATGAACCCGGTTTTGCCAAGGCGGGGGGTGGTCACAGCGTCCCACATGGCCTCCTCGTGGCCGTGACTGGGGGTGGTGGCTGGCCTCTGCCTGCTGGTGGGGACCTCCCTCCTGGGGGTGACCCGGCTGCTCTCTGTCCAGGTACGAGAAGCTTATCGGCGGCAAGTACATGGGCGAGCTGGTGCGGCTCGTGCTGCTGAAGCTTGTGGACGAGAACCTGCTCTTCCACGGGGAGGCCTCAGAGAAGCTGCGCACGCGCGGCGCCTTCGAGACACGCTTCGTGTCGCAGGTGGAGAGGTGCGCGGGCGCGCGGGGGCGAAGGGTGGGGGACAGGGGTGGCGTGCGCGGGGTGGGTCCTGCACCCAGACCCACGGGGGGCGGGGGGGCGGGGCCCGGGCGGGGCTCAGAGCGCAGGGGCGGGGCCCTGGTGAGGTCAGTGGGCAGGAGCCCAGGACCTGGTAAGGTTCCGGGGTGGGGCAACCCGGGCAGTAGTAGCCTTCAGCCCCCAGGGGAACCCGGCGTCGGGCAGCTGACGGAGACCAGGCGTCCTCTCTGTGCTTCCTACCCGCTGTGGACCTCGTCTCACTTCATCCACGCAACAGCCCCGAGGCGCGGCAGTGTCACCCACGTTAGGGCGGAAACCCTGGGTTTAGAGAGAGGAGTAATGACCAGATTACTGCTGGTCCCTGGCGGAGTCAGACCCGCTCCGCTCGGAAGCCCGAGCCCCAAAAGCGCTTTGCCTGGGAGAGGTGGCCAGGGGGAGGAGAAGAAGCCGCCGCTGTGGGGATCGGGCTGGTCCGGGACCAAGCGACCCTCCCGCGACGCCCTCCTGTCCCCGCCCCGCAGTGACTCGGGCGACCGCAAGCAGATCTACAACATCCTGAGCACGCTGGGGCTGAGGCCGTCGGCCACCGACTGCGACACGGTGCGCCGCGCCTGCGAGAGCGTGTCCACCCGCGCCGCGCGCATGTGCGCCGCGGGGCTGGCGGGCGTCATCAACCGCATGCGCGAGAGCCGCAGCGAGGACGTGATGCGCATCACCGTGGGCGTGGACGGCTCAGTGTACAAGCTGCACCCCAGGTGGGCCCGCTCAGCCGTCTGCACCTCCCCGCCGGGTCCAGCCTCCCTCTTGTGAATTCGCTTCCTAAGGGCAGAGCCCGGGCATCGGTCTCCATCTATGATATGCAGGCCGAAACGGATGCTCTCCGAGGTCCCAAGGATTCTTAATCTCCTCGCTCCCCTAAGCCCACAGACTCAGGGGGAGGTTCCCCTTGGCTTACCCCCTGCCCTGTCTTAAGCGCGTTAACTAACCGCAGCCCCGCTTGCCCCCTGCTCAGCTTCAAGGAGCGGTTCCACGCCAGCGTGCGCAGGCTGACGCCCAGCTGTGAAATCACCTTCATCGAGTCGGAGGAGGGCAGCGGCCGGGGTGCGGCCTTGATCTCCGCGGTGGCCTGTAAGAAGGCCTGCATGCTGGGCCAGTGAGAATAAAGGCTGCAAGGCAAGGAGGAGGCTGTGGCCGCTTCTAGACCTGGGCTCCAGGGGACACACTTCCTACAGGTGCCCCCAACCTGGTCCAGTCAAGAGGCTTCTCCTTGTAAGGACCTTGGATGCCTCCCAACCCCGCTGTCACCCCAGGAGATGGGGAAAGCTTCTCTGGGGTTGCGGTGAGGCCCTGAGCAGGCCTCTTCTCTCAGGGTCAGTTGGTAGGATAGCCCTAGGGCCCTGACTGGGTTGGGGGCTGAGATGAACAGGAATGGAGAACCCCCAAAGTACCTCACCTTTCTTGCTGCAATCAGGGGCCCAGAAGGGAGTTATTAACTCAGGATTTTGTTGCATTTCTGCACTGCTTGCCTCTTGGAGCTTTCAGCCTGGCTCAGCCCTTGCTCTGGGAAGGGGGTGCCCTCTGGACTCTACCATGGCCTGGCTTCCCTGGGAACCCAGCCCACATAGGGAGGCAGCCCTCATGACCTGGCCAGACCTAGACCTGGGCTCCACAGGGGGCCCCGGGGAGCTGCAGATCACCCAGGCCTGGGAAATGAAAGGGACCAGCTCCATGTTGGAGGCTGTGGGTACCCCGAGGCCTGGAGATGGCAGCCTTTTCCCTCCCATCCTGCCATCCCTGAGTGGTTTCTGGTTCTGGGATGGACCCTCACAGGAGATGCAAGAGACAGAGTCCCCAAAGCCCCTGCCCAGAGGGGCCCAGGAAGAGGAGGAGTCCCCCTACCCACAGACAGGCCTGGGAGCATCTCCGGGATCGAGTCCTCGGCTCCCACGGCGCTGGGCACTCAGAAACCCCAGCAGCACTCAGCACACCCCCAAGGGACAACCCAGGCCTCTTTCTTCTCACCAGACCTCCATGTACCACACCAACCTCTCCATGCCCAACCTGGGACTGTGTGGGTTTTTTTAATTAAAAGTTTAGAACATGACCTTGTCCACCATTCTTTGATCTCTGTGTATAAGACTGTGGGACAGTAAACATATAGACGTGGTCACAGGTACACAGACACTCTGCAGGCCTAGGCGTGTTTTGGAGTTTGCCATCCTCTCCACAGAGCTATGCCAGGGATTGTGAAGAGTGACAGACCAGGCCTTAGGAACAGGAATGGGGTGGTGTGGCGGGGTGTGGTCAGAGGTCCTGGACTTGCCCAGGCCTCTGCCCACCAGCCTGTGGGATGCGGGGTGTGGTTCTGAGGTCTCCGAGAGCTCCAAGGGAGTGTCAGGGAAGGAGTGGGGCTGCTCTGGGAAGGGGCACGGCTGGTTCTTGGGACTGGTCCTGCTGCAGGTCGGTCTCAACAGGGGATCCCTTGGGGCCACTTGGGTTGTGACAGTGACTGCAGTGGGAGGCCAGGATTATAAGAAGTCACATGATTTCTGCGGTCTTTCCAATTTGGTCCTGAATGAAATGCCTACTTCAAGTTAGTCAAGCCTAGGGCCTAAGACCAGTTACTTATGAACACGTATTCGTAAGATTTTAACATACACGCACTTTTTTTTCAGGTGTTTGGATGTTATCATCTTTTTTTAATTTAACTTTTATTTTATATTGGACTATAGTTGATTTACAACGTTGTGTTAGTTTCAGGTGTACAGCAAAGTGATTCAGTTATACATATATCCATTCTTTTTCAGATTCTTTTCCCATATAGGTTATTACAGAGCATTGAGTAGAGTTCCTTGTGCCATACAGTAGGTCCTTGTTGATTATCTATTTTGTATATAGTAGGGTGTATTCCACTCACTTTTCAATGAGAGAAACTATCCAGCAAATCTGGAATGACTGTGTTGTTTTATTCAGAACTTAACCCCAATTGTGATTTTGAGTTTCACATCCTCCTTGGGATGCTCTCTCGTTTCCTGGTATGCCTCATGTGGAATTTAGTTCTCTCGAGTCTAAATTATGCATCAGAAGTTTGTGTGAGCATCTGATGACTTCATTATCAGTAGTAATGTACTCGTGTTCCACCATTCAGCTGCAGTATTTGATCTCGTTTTACCATAAATTATTTCCTAGCTGTCCTTTATGTTATGGTTTAGGGCATTGTATTGTTTTTTTTTTTTTTCTTTTTACAATTCTCCATGGAGGTAGCTTGTATAGCCTATGAATTTCATTTCAGGAGAGTAAAGGAGGTGTTATAAAATACTTACTTGCTATACAAAAGGGACATTGGGGCTGATGGATGAGAACCCTGCTCTCCCAGCTGGCCTCCCCGCATTCCTCACCCCAGTGGGCCGTCTCCTGTACCCGGTTCAGGGAGCAGCCAGCAGCCCACTCCTGCTCTGGGCGGTCCCCAGCCCCCCAGCCCCTGTCTGCCCCGGGCCTGCAAGGAGCCTCGAGGCTGCTGCTCTGGCACAGCGGACGGAGCCTGGGCCCCTCACTCTGCGGTTGAGCCCCGCAAGAAGGGCTCGTGACCCACTTTCATGGGGATCCCAGGGGAGGCTTGGGGTCCAGGCAGTGCTCCATGCTCCAAAAGCATCACGTGGAGGCTCTGTTTGGGGTCACAGGCAGCTCAGGGCTGGCTTCTGCCCCTTGGTCAGAGGGGCCAGAGGCCAGGGCCAAGCATCTTCAGCAAAACCTCTGGGAATCCCCAGGGGTCTCAGGCCAGAGACCATCCTCAGAACCACCAACTGCCCTCCCAAGCCCAGTGGGGGCCCCGGGCCAGCCCCCGTACCACTGCTGTCCTCTTGGCCTGAGTGGGTTCTGGGCTGGAGCTGCAGGAAGGACAGTCAGGTGGGGTTACAGGGGCCCCTCGTTCAGCATGAGAGTGGTGAGAGTTGCGACTCTGCTCTCAGGAGGCGTTTCACCCGGTGCTGTCAGGGTGGGTAGACACCCGGATGTCACAGGGTGGGGGGGCCTGAAGGTCGCCAGGAACGTGGCTGGAATCTGCTCGGGGGCCCTGTCCTCCCCCAGCCCAGGCAGAGGCTGCCAAGTTTGGGCCTATCCTCTCCTCCTGTCCTTATTTGGTGCGCTCCAGGTGATAAGGCTGAGACATAAAGGGGGCTGTGGGCCCCTCGCAGCAACCAGGCTGCTGCAGAGAGAGACGATGGTGAGTGCCAGGTGGGGGGGACTCAAGGCCAGCGGCCCCCCAGGTGCTGTCCTTTGGGCTGGGGGAGCGAAGCCAGTGACTTCTGTGCTTGTGTTGGGCCCGGAGAGACGGTCTCCAGGGACAGGAAGAGGACCCTGACCCGGGCTCTCCCGGGAATGCTCTGGGGAGGTCCGTGGCAGGGAGTCCTCGGGGAGCTGGGGAGAGGACCCCTCCGCTCCCACTGTGTTGCAGGCCAGCAGGAAGGCGGGGACCCGGGGCAAGGCTGCGGCCACCAAGCAGGCCCAGCGAGGCTCTTCCAACGTCTTTTCCATGTTTGAGCAAGCCCAGATCCAGGAGTTCAAGGAAGTGAGTGCCCTACCCCCAACAACCTGGGACCCATCCGGACACCCTGCCCCCAGCACACCCCTCTTCTCTGTAGGTCAGTGGTCCTGGCCCCTGTCCTTGCTCCTTCCACCACCCAGGATGCCCCTACCTCCCGCCTCCCCCGGGTGGGGACTGCTCCCACCTGCAGACTATAGCCTGCACCTCACAGGCCTTCAGCTGCATCGACCAGAATCGTGACGGCATCATCTGCAAGTCGGACCTTCGAGAGACCTACTCGCAGCTAGGTGAGGGCATCCACCTCCCGCCCGGCCCGGCCCTGCTGGCACCAGGGTCCCGGCTCAGAGCTGCTGGGCTGGGGGGAGCCCGCTGAGAGGGGACGGGCAGGCTCTCAACAGGCAGCAACCCGGCCTGTATTCTTCTCCCAGCTCACCCTCCCGCCTCCTCTCACACCCCTCCCCCATCACACCCCCTCCCCCATCACACTTTCCTTCCACTTCACCTCCCCCACCCACAGCTGCCTCTCACTTTCTACCCTGGGAAGGAGGGAGGGGCAGCCCAGGCCCTACTCGGGGACACTCAAGGTCCCTGTGTCCATTTCACATCCCGCCCCACCAGGGAAGGTGAATGTCCCAGAAGAGGAGCTGGATGCCATGCTGCAGGAAGGGAAGGGGCCCATCAACTTCACTGTCTTCCTCACACTCTTTGGAGAGAAGCTCAACGGTGAGCCTGGGGCGGCTCTGGATCCCCCTGGCCAGGCAGCGAGCTTGAACCCCACCTGGACCCTGCCTGGACCCGGCCTGAATCCCACCCAGACCCCTTCCATACCATACCTGGCCCTCGCCCGCCCAGAGGTTGTAGGGGCCACCTCTGCATTCCAGACCCATGAGCACTGATCACCCCAAGTCTCGGGGTTGGGAAATATGCCTTCAGATTCCAGTCCCAAATCCCCAATCCTAGTCTCCCTGCCAGGCTCGCCCATCTCAGAAGGACAGCCGCTCCTGGCGCCTCTGAGCCCCGAGGGGCGCTTTCTGTCGGAACACCCTCTCGCTTCTCTGGGCCTGGAGGACTCCCCCTGCACCCTGGGTTCCTCCTGGGTGGGACCGGGAGGATGGCAGTGTGGCTGCTTACCTGACCCCCTCGGCCTCCCAGGGACAGACCCCGAGGAAGCCATCCTGAGCGCCTTCCGCCTGTTTGACCCCAGTGGCAAGGGCGTGGTAAACAGGGACGAGTAAGTGGGAGCAGCAGGGCGAGTGCCGGGGGCACCATGTTGGATGGAAGCAGGGAGGGCGGAGGGTCGCCTTGTGAGGGTGGCCACCTGGACTTTGGGGCCCGCTCTGCTTTTGGGGGGTGGCCACCTGGGCCAGGGGAGCCCCCATTTTCCCCTCCTGGATCGGCCGCCCCTGCAAGGCCCTCCCCACTGCTCCCCACCTCCTCCAGGTTCAAGCAGCTTCTCCTGACCCAGGCGGACAAGTTCTCTCTGGCCGAGGTGAAGATTCCGGCTCCTTCGACACCCCTCCAGGCCCCTTCGCAGGGCCCCCAGCCCGCAGGGCCCCCAGCCCGCAGGGCCCTGGGGAGGTCTCGGTGACCCACTGCCCTCGTGGGCGTAGGGCCCAGCTTTCCGGGGAGGTGCCACCTCTCTTGGGATCTGGAGGGTGAAGGACATGGAATCAGAAAAGGAGGAGGGTGCAGGCTGGGTGAGCTGTGTGTGCAGAGGCCCAGGCGTGAGAGTGCGGTGCACCTCAGGATCTGGAAGAGGTTTCCTACACTGCGGAGGGGGAGGGGAGGGGAGGGGGCCGGGCCCGTGGCCAGGGTGGGCCCTGTGACCCACGGCACCCTTCGCTCCTGCCCCAGCCTCCGGCTGAAAATGCTAAGGGGCAGCGTACAGCCCCAGGGGCGGGCCGAAGGGTCTTAGGCCTCCCTCGGGTCACGGGCACCGGCCCCCAGGATGCCCTGGCTGGGCGGTGTCTCACCAGTGCCTCCCCAGGTGGAGCAGATGTTCGCCCTGACGCCTATGGACCTGGCCGGGAACATCGACTACAAGTCCCTGTGCTACATCATCACCCATGGGGACGAGAAGGAAGAGTGAGCCCGAGGCGCTAGCGGCTGGGACTCAGGGCCGGCCTGTGGGGACACCTCAATAAACGCTGTTTCCGAATTAGACCCACAGTGGTGGCCTGTCTGTGACAGATGGGGTGGGGCTCCACAGGGACTGCTGTAAGAACCAGCCCGGCCCTCACCGGCCCCCTCCGTTCACCCCACACCGTCCCGTGACATATGAACCGGGATGTGCCCGGCTTACAGATGAGGACGCCGAGGCCTGCGAGGGTGCCCAGGGCCACTCCTCTAGGAGAGGAAACCCAGAGCTTTATGCCCGTCTCCACCAGGCCCGGATCGAGCCACGCGACGGGCCTCTGCTCAGCAAACATCTGCCAATGGCCCAGGGACTCTGCCCTCCTGGGACCCCATCTCTGCACACGGGCTCAGGTGGGCGTCTCTGCACGCGCGTGTGGTGTGCTGGGCCCCGTGTGAAAGGCACCGAGGGACCCATCTGAAAACACAACAGGTGAGGTGCCTTGTCACCAAAGGAGGGGCTGGAGTACATGCAGACTTCCAAAGGAAATACTCCGGAATTGGCCTCATGCCTCGGGGGTGAAAGGATCAGGCTGCCAGAGAGAGGGAATGGGTGTCTCTGGAGGGCATTGCTAGTGTCCCGTTCCCCACCTCACCTACAGAAACCAGGAGCTGGGGGGCAACCAGCCTCATCCTGGGAATGGGAGGGGGAGCAGGGCAACCTCCAGAGCACCCACGGCAGGGAGGGGGAGGAAGAGGCAGTGGGGAGAGAGACAGCTTGAACCTGGGCAAGACCCAGAACACAGGAAGTCCTTCTCTGGACAGGAACCAGCAACGCTGAGTAAGAGCTCTCTGCCTCCCCCCCGCCCCCCCCACCCGCTCCCTCCAGGCCCTGCTGCAATCCCCCAGCTGGGGAGGCGGGAGGAGGTGAGGGAGAAAGGAGGAACTGACCACATTCCCTCCAGAAGGCAAGCAAGAGGAAAGGCATTTCACCCGACGGGTGTTCAGTTTGGATGTTTACCTGGGACTTGGCAATTTTAATTACTACATTGCGAATTGAGATTTAAAGTTATCATGGCCTTTCTATTACTTATTCGTGATCACAAACGTCATGGCACTGCCTGAGTCTTCATCCAGAGAGCAGGCAGCCTCCCCGACTCCGCCCCCCCCCCCCCCCCCCCCCCCAACAGCATGCTTGCCGGGAAGATGGGTGAACAGGATCAAGCAGGTGTTGGGAATTCCCTGGCGGTCCAGTGTTTAGGACTTGGTGCTTTCACTGCTGGGGCCCGGGTTCAGTCCTGGTCAGGGGACTGAGATCCTGCAAGCCTCACAGCATGCGCGCGCGCACGCGCGCGCGCGCACACACACACACACACACACACACACACACACACACACACACACACACACACAGCAAAAACAAAACTCAAGCATCAAGCAGGTGTTATGATTCTAGCTCATGAGTTCTGCTTGTTCAACAAACTGATTTCAAGAAGTAAGGGATGGGGCTTCCCTGGGGGGACAGTGGTTAGGAATCCACCTGCCAATGCAGGGGACACGGGTTCGAGCCCTGGTCCAGGAAGATCCCACATGCCACGGAGCAACTAAGCCCGTGCGCCACAACTACT